TTATATATATATATATATATATATATATATATACACACACACTACTGACCTCGTTATTTCCATCAAGCTTGGTCTAGCATTGGGCACTTCCAATGGCCAAGCTTGGTTCCTAATGAGGTAGAGGACCAGGATTTCAAGTAAGGGAATCTTTGACCACTATCCATATGGAATCACAGCCCAATATCGTTGTGGCTCTACTTGATCCAAATAGTATGGCTAAACAAATCATTAATCCTTTCGTGATAAAACCAAGATTCTATCAAGATCATTTGATCGATTTGTCCTTTCAGAGCATTGAAGATTTTATCAGTACTCCCTCTCATAAGGGCCAATGGCTCATAGTCGAGGTGCACGGCTCGAGAGCAGAGTTTGCTCGATCGAGGTATATGCCTCGGACCCTCGTTCTAGCGCAAATCTGATAAGGGAATATTTGGTCGGCAATCCATTGGTATAGCCCATAGGCTCGCAAGGAATTATTCGCTTTATGCGATAAGCGTATATGTACGATTTTACCTTTTCGGAACATTGAAACTCCAAAAAAATACTTATAAAGGTAAGGATGACCAATGTAGAACTAAATGATCTTATCACTATCTTAAATATTTTTTTCTTGCAGTTGATCATTATAGCTAAACTCGAGTCACTTGTGCATTTCTTGGAACATCTATCTAGGTCGGAAAAATAGCTCGTCCGAGGCACCCAATGACAGACTCCTTGGCGGCCTCTTGTCTCCTGAATTCGATGACAAGTCCTGCCTCAGTCGATACCAGTCTATGCTCTACCGCAAGGCATCACCGCACGCTCCTTCGCCTCATCTCGTCCGAAAGCTGCGAGAATACGAAGCTCTCCACAAGAAATGCGCTCCCAACACCGATCTCTACCGCAAGTCCATAGAGCAGTTGAAGTCCGGCCGCAGCGACGGCCCCATGGAGTGCAACTACGTGGTTTGGATCCCGCACAATGGCCTCGGCAACAGGGTGCTCACCATCGTCTCCTCCTTCCTCTACGCTCTCCTCAACAACAAGGTTCTGCTGGTCCACATCCCCAGCGACTTCACCGACCTTCTCTGCGAGCCCTTTCCGGGGACTTCGTGGGCTCTGCCTTCCGACTTCCCCGTCCACAACTTCCTCGATTTCGACACAGGGACTCCTCAGAGCTACGGCAACATGCTCCGCGATAAGGTCATCGACGACGAAATGCTCTCAGGTTCTTCCAATGCTACGTTGCCGGCTTACGTCTACCTCCACCTGCCCTGGTACTACGACCAATGGGATAAGCTGTTCTTCTGCGGCGACGCGCAGCGGATGCTTCGGAGGATCCCTTGGCTGCTGCTGAAATCAGACCACTACTTCGTGCCGTCCCTGTTTCTGCTGCAGGAGTACGAGGAGGAGTTGCGGCAGCTTTTCCCGGAGAGAGCGACCACGTTCCACCACCTCGTTCGGTATCTTGTGCACCCGACCAACGCCGTGTGGGACTACGTCACCAAGTATTACCGTGCTCATCTTGCTGCGGCTGATGAGACGTTGGGCATCCAGATCCGAGTCTTCGACAACTTCCCCGTTCCGTTCGAGTCGATGCTGCGTCAGGTCATTAACTGCTCGCTCAGTGAAGGCATTCTGCCTGCGGTGAACTTTCAGGAGTGGGCGGGACCAGCTTCGAAGACCGACACGAAGGTGAAGGCCGTCCTGGTCGCTAGCTTGTTTTCCGGATACGCCGAGAGGATCCGAGACATGTACGCCAAGCATCCCACGACGACCGGCGAGGTGGTCAGGGTGCACCAGCCGAGCCACGAGGAGCAGCAGCACACGGAACAACGAGGCCACAACATCAAGGCGTTGGCAGAGGTGGAGCTTCTGAGCTTCAGCGACGCCCTGATCACCAGCGCGTGGTCGACGTTCGGGTACGTGGCGCAGGGTCTCGGTGGCTTGCAGCCGTGGATCCTTCTCCGGCACACGCAGTCGGACCTCCCATGCCGCCAGGCTATGTCGTCGGAGCCATGTTATCTCATGCCTCCCCCTTTCCCTTTCCCTTCCTCCCATTGCTCCAAGGATCATGGCGACGCCGGCGAAGCCGCTGCGGCCACGCAGTATGTGAGGCAGTGCGAAGATGAACTCGGAGGCATCAAGGTTTTCGACTAGCTTTTGCCGTGGAGGGTGGTAAGTTTGTGCTAAAATGACATACATACCCCTCAAAAGCTACCGTATTTTCAGAACGATCGATTTAACTTGAGGCACACGAATCACATAGCAGTTTAAACGGATATAGGCGTCAAGGTTGTTAAAATTAATAGCCACAAACAAATATTTGAGATTCCAGACGTAATTATTTAATATTATCAGATTTTTTCAAAATATTACACATTTTAGAAAGGTATTCATGTCAATTTAACTTATAACAAAACAAAAATTCTAGTTTTAATACATTATAATAAGAAAAAGAAGCTTTTATTTCATTCCTTTTGTTACTATCCTAACAAATTGTATTGATTAAAAGTATATTTATAATTAATTAATATTATTTAAACTTTCTAAAATATTACCTTCAATGACGTTTTAGAAAGGTATTAATATCAATTAAACGTATACTAAAAAAAAAAATCATAGTTGTAATGCATTATAATTAGAAAAGAAAACTCTTATTTCTTTCCTCTTGCTACTACACAAACAAATCGTGTCAAATTTAAAAGTATTTATAACTAATTAATATTATCTGAACTTTCTAAAATATTATCTTTAAAAATAGTTTAGAAATGTATTAATATCAATTTAACTTATAATAAAAAAATAATCCTAGTTTTAATGTATTAAA